TTATTTGTTATTCTTGAATTCTTCATACTTAAAACTCAAATTTAAAATTTTTAATTTAATTATTTTTGTAGTTATACTTCTTTAAGATTAAGTGAATATGCCTCCCCCAACCAGCGGCCCCCTATTTAAAAAAATAAAGGCAAATTAGGAATTAAGTGAAATTTATTAATTATGATATTTACATATTTGTTTAATTATTTGTTAGTAAAATTATAAAAGTTATATTTTAATTAAACATTTTTTAAAAATAATATCCTTGATTAGTTTTTTTTTTTTTTTTAAGTCTATACCCTCAATTAAATTTTTTTTAAAAGATTGTATTTTTACGTTTATTAAATCTTGTGGTCATATTTATTTAATTTTGGCCGAAGGTGCAATTCAGTCCCTCTAGATGCAATGTTGCGTCAGATGTCCCCTTCATTTTTTTAATTGGCATCCCTCTCCCTACAATTACAAAACAATGCAAATGAGCCCTTTTGTAAAATAAGTTGGATTGTCCACGTCTGCTGTGGGAAAGTGGTTTCGGTTGCCATGTAAGCTCGACCGCAGCACCAGCAAAGCAGCCCCTTAATGGAGTCATGTTTCAGGGGACGAGTTGCTGACTCTCTCTAACGAAAGCATTGCGAAAAGGACTCAAAGGACTCATTTTCATTGTTTATATAACTGGAGGGGGCAGGATGCCAATTAAAAACCGGAAGGGGTCATCTGCCACAAAATTATACCTGGAGAGGCTGAATTGCACCCTCCCCCTTTAACTTCTTTTTATTTGACGATTGGCGTTAGCAATTTTTTTTATGATGATTTACCTCTATTTATATAATCATCATTAAGAAACACACACACGGTATAATCTGCTCGCACATAAAGGTTCGAATACATTTCAAGGTTCGAATAGAACACCTATAAGATGAAATTCTTTATGGATATAACACCTAATACAAGACTAAAGACAAAAAACAATAATAATTTTTTTTAATCTTGATTACACAATAAAAGACAACCATCTTTCATTCTTTATTCCACTCTATTTGCATAGTATGCGACTTGAATTAATAACCTTTTATTTTCAGTGAAAAGAGATAACCACTAAATTATTTAAATCATTGACAATAACAATAAAAATTTAGTTTATATAAATACATATATTTATCCTTAATTTACCTTTATTGTAGTTTCTATTTGATCATATCTGCGTTAACACATATGATTACCATAGATGTTATCACTATAAGAAAAAGAAAGGATAATTAATGATACTTTATCTAGCAAGAAAGAGATTTTTTTTTTTTTTTTTTTTCCGAAGTAGAAAAGCAGGAAAACTGTTAAAGGTGAGAAAGACAGGAACAAGGATTGTGAACAATATTAGTATGATTGCAGCTGGGCTAGCCTAGGCCAATTGGTAAAAGTGCATTAATTCCAGACTCTGCAGTAACTCGGCTGGTTTCAATCCCAAATCCTCCACTCTCGAGTTGT